GAATATTATTCAAAGCTATATAAGTTATATTCAGTTACTCTCGTACTAAAGTTAATATTATTATTCCTAATATTTTCTTCAAAGTATTCTTTTGTTATTTGATTTCTTTTCTTATTTTTTTTATTTCAATTAGCATTTGTTTATATATTATATACAAATATTCAATTTTAGAATAGAAATCTTGAAATAAAGATATCAATTCATTTTTATATTTATTAAAATATCACTATATTTTAAAATTAGGAACTTTTTTATACAATTAATTTAAAGTCAATTCATTCTATCAATTAGATAATTTAATATATAACTATCAATAATATAAATCCGCTATTTTTTAATATATAATTTCTTTTATAAAATAATTATTCGATAATGTAAATCGTTATTGATTAGTTATTATTTTTGATATTTCAATTTTATATTATTTTTTCAATATTTTTAATGTAAATATACTCAAAATACTCTTTTAGAATTTAGATACTAATATAATCTTATTTAATAGCTTAAATAGAATAAATAGAAAATCCGAATTACACTTATTGCAATACCTTTTTAATAAAACAATTTCTCTTTTCTCTCCTATTAATAAAAGATTTTCCCTAAAATAATTAAGGAACACTTTCCTATAGCATAAATTATTACAAATAATCAATTAAATAGGAAAAATACTAGCTTTTTGAGTTATCTCAATTTTCGTTCAAATATATTTACCCTTTGAAATAGAATCTATTATATTATTATTAATAATACCATTTTCGATATTAGTTTTTATATCAGTTTTTTCTTTATTTATTAAATCCTTATTTTCTATTTAACTTTCTAAAGCTTATAAAACTTAAAATCATTTCGCTTTTTGATAAGATAATAAAAAGTGTTTTTCTATTATCTTCCATATTGAAATAGAAGTCTTATTTGTATTAATATTAGATCTTTTTAGTACTATAAAATAGAATCCATTAAAATCAAAGTAATAATATAGAATGAATATATATACTATATTAATATATTTTAATTCTTTTTTTCTTTGATTTATTCTTTGTTATATCTTTATAATCAATTACTTTCTTATATTCCAAAGAATAATCAGATTTATATTATAGATATTAATATTTATAATAAAAATAATAGTAGTAATAATAATATAGGCAATTGATATTACCTTTGCAAACTTGTTGTATTTTATTACTCAATTCTTCACATTAATTTTTAAATGAAATGAAATAATAATATTTATAATATTAAGGCTTTTATTCTTTATTTTAATAGAATATAATATAATTTTGCTTTTCGTTTTTTTTAAAAAAGTATTTTAAAGATAGTTTTTTATTATATCAACTTTATTTTTAGAGTTTATAAATATTATAGTCTTAGAAATCTTTTTTAAAATTGGATTCCCATTTTTATTTATAGTATTATCTAAAAAATAATATAAAGACTTTAAAGATTTAATTTATTTGTAAGAAATAAAAACTATCGCTAATAAGATATTTAGATAATTAATAGATGTACAAATAATATATATTTGGTATAATCAAAAACTTAATCTTTGAAATCCTCTATTATCTAAAACTACCTTTTGACTTTCTATATCCAAAGTGATAATACATTTAAATCATATAATTTTTTGAGGCAGAAGATACTGTAATTATTCTAATATAGTGAATTTGGGTTGAAAATCCTTTTATTATAAGATAAGATAGTATTTGTTTATAGCTATAAGTCTAATATTAGACTACAATTCAGGAGATACAAACACATCCCTAAATTTAAATGAAACTATTTATTTAAAGCCTAAAAGAATATATATATATTTTAATTAGCGAATTTAATTAATTATTTCAGTTTTCTTTTTTAATAACTCGAAATTCAAAAAACAAGGTGATATTCCAGAAAGTTTTTTGATATTCTTGAATTGCTTCTTTCCAAGCTTTATTAATGAAACTATTTGGAGAATAATCTTTTTTATTAAAATAAAATATAAATAAAATATCAAACTCTTTTTAAATCTAATTTTAATAATATAAAGAGTATTACTCTTTTTATAAATTAAACAATATAGAATCCGGGTTTGTATAGACTTAGATTTTCAAATAGCAATAGAATCTAAAAACTAAAGAATTCTTTCAAAATATAATTCAATAAGCTCTTCTTATTTTTCAATATATTTCTCTATTCCTCCTTTTTTAATCATTATAGGTATATTCTTTAATTCAATCTTATAAATTCACTTCATATATTCGTCTAATCCAACCATCAATATTGTTAATATATTGGATATAGTTAATGCAATCTTATAGTTATTCTTCAGCTTTCTAGCTTTAGTTCGTTTAGAATATTTATTACCTTTCCTCCATTTTAAAGATATAATAGCAAAAGTTCCCAAAATATAATAGAAGGTTTTAGAAGATAACAAAAATCCACAAGAGATAACAGGAATTCACAGGAGACCTTATGAATTGATAGATATTTACAGAATATAATACAATTCAATAGTAAGTTAAGCAAAAGCTAATAGAAAGTGGCAGAAGTTTTCAGAAATCAATAGAAATAAATATAATAGAATTTTTTTTTTTATAAATCAATAATTGAATATACATTTCATTTTCACTTCAGTTTCATTTCAATTTATTTATAATTTATATAATAAACTCTATCTACACTCAAAAACGATTTCAATATATTATATAAAAACAAAGAATTATTATATTATTATTATTACTAAAAAATAGTATTTAATTATTTATTTCTTAATAAAAATAATATTAATAGAAATATAAATAATACAATAGGATTACTAAAATCAAGGGGATCCTTAGAATATATATAATTATATAGATCAATAAATAAAGATAGTAGATTAGAAAAAAAAAATAATCATTATTATAAAATATTGATTTTCAAAAATATATATTTTCGATATATATATATATATAATTAAATAAAACTATTATAATAAAAAATATATCAAAATAATAAGAAAATCTATCTATATATATTGAAATTATATTAAAGTGATATAATTATTAAGTGATTTATAATCTTTAATTGAAAAGTCAAAAAATAACAAATTGTTGATTTTTTTATCAAAGCTAGAACCAAATTGTTTTAGACTTTATGGTGATAAACCTTCGGGAGGCCTCTATCTCGAAATCAAGGCCAAAAATTATGTAATCACCGTGTGGTCTGAGGATGACATAAGTCATGTCCACCTCCACATCCACCTCCAGGTCACGAATCACATTAAAGATTTCGATCGGTCTAGAACGTTTCTCTCCATCAAGATCCTACACTTCCTGTGCACTCAAGAGGTTGTATCTTTATGAACCACGCTCGATAATCCTTCAGGGGCAAGATGATTATGATGATTTGGGTACTACAGATATACCGCGATACGGATTGGCATTCAAAGTTGGATGTTATCATCCTGAATTCAATGCAAAATACATGGAGTTTTGAATTGACACTTTAGCCATAACTGGTCGAACGGCTTGTACCAGAGCAGCACCTAAGCTTGGACAACCCACGTTGGGTAGTCAGAGATGCCAATTCAAAACCAAGGAGGTTGATTGAGATTGAGTTGACTTTGGTCCATACCGAGTCTTTGCGTTGTGAATCTAAGTTTCCACACACAATAGATTTGGGATGTTCAATGTTTGCGAGAATAAAAAAACATAGCCCTTTCGTTTTGCTGCATAGACTATCCTTGGTTTTACACTTTGCAAGCTCTGATTATCGTTGTCTATGCTGTTAAGCTCTTGTAAAAATACCTTATGTGATTGGAATATTTATACACCACCTCAAAGAATTTGGCGTTTACAAAAAATCTGCTTTTGATGATTCAAGGATATCTAAATTTCAGACATTCGTCAAATGACTAATGACTGGGATGAATAGATTAGTTTGTCAAATGCCATACCCATGTCCACTGCAGTACAAAAGATTCCCAGCAAATCAGCGTTTTACTAGATTGCCCATAAATGATCAGGATTGAATGAGAGCTTTTCTCTCTGCTCAGCTCCTGTCACCCGGCCGGTTGACCTCGCAGGTAACTACCGAAGAACAGCAATGCCAAACAATGACGGAGTAGGTTCGTAGCAGCAAACGTTGCGTGTATAATTGCTGGGCTTAGCTGAAAAATTCTTCTTCGTAAAGATCCTAGCAATCTTTAGCATTTGCATGTCATGTTTCTTCATTAAAGTTTGGGATGGATCATGCCATACTTCGTACACATGGCATTGAGATTGGCTTCTTGATCTTAGGGTTAAGCCACCGACAAAAGACGCGCAGGTCAATCTATGTTCATTAAACAATTTAAGCCACATTGGGCAGCCTATTGGCAGAAACTTAATTATAGGGTAGTACTCTGACATGACATTAGCTCGACCGAGTGGTATAGACTCGATCGGGCTAAACAGATGTACCTCATTGGCTCAACAAGAGTCAACTGGTCTAATGTTCGCCTTTCCAAAATATATGATTGGGTCGCCATAACAATTCTAGAATCCGCCTAATCCGAAGTGCATAAGGTTATGCACAGAAGTCCGTGGCGTATCTAATATGTGATTCATTTTCCGTATCGCCAACGATCCCCCTTGTCGGCTCAGGGAGCTCATGGATACCGCATTCGGTAACATTGAGCGTGGTCCAGTCGAATGGAATAGGGAAGCACTAGGTACTCGGATACAACATCAGCCAACCGGACAAAACAAAAAAAGATAGCTGTCTGCAAATGTCGGCATTAGGAACAAGGATTCCGAGCAAGCAGCCCTGTCTGCCAAGGTGTGTCTTCATTTTGGCCGTCGCGCACCGGAAATCTTGCCATGTGTCCATCTCTTATCCTCGAAGAGAGAGATCAAACACACCAAGATCCTGCATCTTTCCTATAATTCAAAGTCAAATTGAGATGAATTTTTTGCTCAGAGGGAAGAGCAAGCGGAATTTGACCAACTCTATCAAACCCACCTATAAATATTTCAATGACTCGATTGGTGTTCTTAATCTGAACATGAAATAATTTTTTGGAATAAACTTCGAATTATAAAAGGCTATTATCTGAATACTTTAGTCTTTCCAGACTCCAGATGTATACATTTCTTTCATCTTAGCATGAGAGACTTGTGCGCATGTAGGTTCGGGTCTTCATGCTGGATGCCGTGCTAGAGACAGACGGTAATACGGTACCGACACGTTTCAATTGGAAAGAATCTGGAAAAAACGCGATGATCACTGATCACTGATCGGGGGGCGGTGGGCTATGTGATGGCGCACCTTTACTCACTCTCTTGGTGGTGCACCGCGTACCTGTATCACCCAGTATGAATGGCGCATCAAAAAGTTTGACTGGTTTCTTCTTCAATTTCTGCAATTATATAGATGCACTTCCTGCATCCATTGTTATCGAAATTAAACACGCACACTCAGAAGTCATCAACTCCTCAGACCAGGAACCTTTCACAAACCGAGTATTGTTACCTCTTACGCCAAACAACGATCGTTTCCATCATGCGTCAGTAGATCATCCTTCAGCCTAACACATACCAGTCGCATAATTTCGCATCCATCCCAAAGCTAATCCGTCAAACTAGTTGCTCTAGAAAATATTATTGCTGTATGCTTTGGCCTGACCAGCGTTTTCCTTGCGGTTCTTTCTCTCTATGTCATGTGCAGACCAAAAGCTGCCCCAGGTATGCAACAAATCGTAAAACAATGCTCCGGAACTCAATGGCTAATTTATCAGACATACCAGGGCCGGATCTTGAGTCGGGACCACGAGCTACGAGCCTCTTCTCCAGTCGAGAATATCCGATCCCAGCATCTTCTGGTCTTCTCAGTAGAGCTCCTTCGACCTCAGCATATTCCAGTCGCCCTAGCAGCGCTCAAATCTCGTTGCACGATAATACCCACAACCAACTCCGTTCAAATAGACCCCCGCCTCAACGTGCGACAAATCAATTACAAAATTTCGGCATGCTCGTGCCGGACTTGACATTTGCTACAGTGGAACCTTCTTCTGAATCCGCGATTGAACTCTATCAGGTAACGCACTTGACGAGGCTTATATCGTACAATCGGAGTCGGGGTTGATCTTCGAGGCAGGGTGTATCTTAAAATGGCGGCTGGATAGTTTGAATTATCGATGGGTATCTTGGTATACATGATACCATTGATGGAGTTATTGTTGAAGATGGAGACTATGAATTATTATATCTCGGCATGGGACGGCGTTGATGTTTATAGAAGAATTGATTATTGTGTTTTGATATATTGTTGAGATGCTTTCAGTTAGTGGGAATCGGGTAGTAGCGATTGGACTATAGATGGCATCAGACTCGAAGGCGTGTTCACATCACCCGACGAGCATCCGAGATAGTTTTCGAAATGAATTATCTTTGAATACTGCCACAGAATTGATTCCAATAATTCATATTCATATCTGTATGCTTCTGGTCCTTCCACAGTGTCTAACAATAAAATAGTCGTCGCAGGAAGGACCAAGAGAAAAGAGGGTCTAGGTCTATGACGTATATGAACTCCACACACTAGCCACAGGCCGCTAGATCCCGTACTTCTAGAAATCAACGGCCAGGCTTCCGCGCGGCTATCTGTGATAAGGCTTAGGCTGACCACTAATAAGACATACGTACGCTGTGAAACAGCATTTACACAACATGTATGATCCAAATTTAATGGATTAAATTTCTTTATCTAATCTGAGATCCAAGAATTGAAGCTATATGATACATCAATCCGAATTTGACAATCGCCAATCATTTGTCTGTAATATCTCAACTCATATAGAGTGAGAACCAAGTGTCAGAAAAGTCTACGGTAATTGAGATGACAGACTTTATAAAGTGGCGGAGTGTTTATCGATTGATTGGGTCTGTATTTATTGACTTCGCAACGGCGAGGTGAAACTATCTAATAGCAAGGTAACGCATTTCACTGACTTATTATTTTCATAATGATGTATAACAAGCATTATGTTACGACCGCTGGTAATATATCTACGTACACACGACTCACTAATGTCAGGGCATCTAACCCGGAGTCCGGAACGCTGCGTGTCATTTGTGGGATAGACTAAAAGATCAAATTCATATTTATATACATAGAACTAACTGCTTCGTGTCATAGGCATGAAATCCTAACAAACAGAATCGCACAAAAATTGACGTCGGTATTGATTCAAATCACAACACTCGTATCACACCACGACTAAGGTTAATGCACCGTCGCCGCTCCCGACTTCTGCAACGTCTTTGGCAACAATGGTTGAATAACATTCAACCAAACAGTCGTATACAATCTATCATCAATTAGCATATGCATCTTTCATTCAACGAGTACAAAAACTCACCCAGGACTTCCATCTGAAGCAAGACTTCCCGGTTCCAAACTTCCCCACTGTTGCGAATCCGCACAACATGGCGAATAAGTTCCCCAAAAAGGTCCAGCGGCCCAAGCTGTCCATCCTATGTACTCCTTATTCTGCGCCATGTAATCAACAATTCCCTTGATGTATGGAGCGCATTCTGTACCGTTAGCACCACCAAATTCAGTGATCATGGCTTTGAGATTGTAGGTTTTGAGCCAAGCGGTCAGAGGGGCGAGAAGTTCTGGAGCGGGAGATGCACAGACAGAGTGACCACCTGAGAAATCAACATCGAGATACTCGTGGATGTCGATGGCGGTATTGTTGAGAGGATCCTGGAGCGTTTGCATCAAAGCACTGGATGGGTCGCTGCCTTCGGTCCAAGCATGACCTCCTGTCCACGAGTTTCCTGGTGCCAAGATTCTGTATTTCCTCATTAGTCATGATCTCGTTTGTAATGGAATAATTGAATCACTCACAAATTCTTTGCGCCGGCCTTACGGATCGCAGTGATCGCAGCTTGATCATTTGCGACTACCAAGCTTGTAGGCATGTCATGGGGCTAACGCTTTCGTTAGACTTGATCAAATTCTCCCAGAATATAATAGTGTCAACTGACTTCATTCATCAACCCAAAGATAACTTTCGTATTGCTCTTAAATCTCTTCGCCAATTCTCCCCAAAAAGCAGCAAATTGTGCAGTGGTTGCAGCTTTAGGATCCGTTGTGTTACCGATAACAGATCCGGAGTATGGTTGAGAAGAAGGATCATTGTAGCGCATATAGTTGTGAGGGTCCAGGATCGCATATGCAGACTTGGTTTTGGTGATGTAGTTAATCGCATCAGCGTAGTAGGCGTAATGCTATTTGATATGTGAGCCCAGTTAATGACGAAGAGGAAGGTTGAAGAGACTTACTGTTTCGTCGAATGTAGCACCTAAGCCGGTAGCTGGAGGACACATTCGCTCGAGTAGAAATGCTACTCGGAATAAGTTTACCTGGAAAGCTGTTAGATTTTATCAATTATTGGCGCAGTATTCTCGCTATGCGAGATTGAGTCAAGTCATCGACCTACCTTATTCTTATCCACGTAAACATCAATGGCAGACTTGTTAATGAAAGCATAATCCTGTCCAAATACACCCGGCAATCCTGTTCCCACGGTACCGGTTCCACCTATTTGATGTTAGCATTAGGGTGTCCAAGGTCAACACAATCTAGTATATTTCCAAATCATGAAGAATGAAATGATAGCAGAAACACATACTATACACTCCAAACTCTCCACCACTCTCAGCTACTCCCGCATAGTAAATAGTAGCATCCACCGAAGCGGCAAAGGCTCCAATCGCGGAGAGGAGATTTTTCAAAAGCATGATTGAATATCTCTTTTCTCGAATCACACAGACGTGTACTACAAAAGTAAAGAATACAATATGAATATCCAAAAAAATCTATACTCAGAGCAACAGATCTATATACCCCAATTCCACCACCGGAACTAAGGGAAGCACCTCCCACAAAGCCGAAAAGATCCATGATGGGTAGTATCCGAATAGATGAAGTTATTCCGACCCATCCTTATACCCTGTTGATCCCTCACACATCACCAGTCGTACATCCATATGATCAGGAACCCGGACGATAAGATTGGGCGACGGAGAAATTCCACATCAAAAATCTACACGCAGGGGATAATCGGAGGCTCGGGCCGCCTATTAATAAACTAATTTCTGGGGTCTCCACACGGGAGATGTCACTCCGCGATTGACATTTGCCGAAATGGGGATGGAGACCCGGCTGTGATAAGAGCTTTTATGGGTTCTTGAGGATGGGCTCCACTGAGAGGCAATATTGCGAGCTATCCGAACTCCTTTAGACGAATTTCTTTAATTTATGAGAACGTCAGCCAAGAGAGTTCTGATAGTAATCGAAGAGTCTTGGCGATAATCCTCGCATTGCGTGCTTGTATGTAATTAGAGCGTGTTTCTTTTCTTCGCAATAAGGATATGGGCGACTTGACGGACGCTGAAAGTTAAGCAATTGTGGCTTCGATAATTAAAGCAGTGGCCTCAAAAAGCTTAAGGTCGCGTGAAACAGTAAGTAGCCACCAGCTTGAGCAAATGTATAAAGCTATCTATGCAGATCACACAGCACAAATCAGTATAACAATGAGATGAACGCTAAGAAACTTAAATTAATGCTATTAAACACCCCATAGAAAATCATAAATCAAGATTAAGACCCTCAAAAGAACGACACCCAAAAAGAAATCGATTATACACAAAAGCCAAAGAAATAACAAAAGAAACCAAACAGTGAATAAAAACACTCCCTCGACTTCCCTCGCAATTTTCTCGGCATTATCCCTCCATTTCCACCAGTTTCAAGTCAAACACTTTCTCTTTCCCTCTCCCTCTCTTGGTTATGACTATGACTATGACCCGAGAATCCCCAGATACTACTAATCTTCCTCAACATATTCGAATGTTGTCTCTTCCCCTCCTCCATCGTCATGAATTCAAAGCTTCCAGGTCTCTTCCAAACACCCAATTCATCGTCTTTCTCGCCCTTTTCGCCCTTCTTGACACCCCATTTATCAATACCCTGAAGCAACTTCACGGCTTCTTTCCACGCATTTTCACTCTCGAACTCTTGTTCTATCTGTCTCCAAAGATCAATGTACACACTTACATCTTTATCCCAAGTCCCCTTTCTCCAATAAGCTCTCTTCAATAATTCCAATTGTGCAATTGCAATGATGCATGCTTTATCTCTGGGTAACTCATCGCCGGCGTCGGAGACGGTACTTCGGAGTATGTCTTCATGAACACGCATTGCTTTTCTAAGATCCGGATGGGGAGACGCGGTATAGAATGCAGAGAGCAGATTTTGCATCTCGAGAGTGGTGGAATCGAGTGGACCCCATACACGACGAATGTTGTAACACATGTCTTCGAGGAGATGTATAGCTTGGTCTTGATGGCCGCTGGAGAATTGCGTTTCGACGAGGAGGCGGCCAATGTGCACGATCGTAGAGGAAGACCAGGTCAGTTGCGAGTGACGAGAGTTCCAGAGTTGAGTAAGGAGCCACTGTGATTTATTGTTAGGATTGACACAAAATGAGGGAACAGGGTGGAAATATGCTTACCTCAAGAGCTTCTAGGTCTTGGATTTCTCCAAGCAAGCCACAAACACTATTCAGCTGTTCAATTGGCAGATCCACGATCTGGAGTTTACCGGTGCGGAATCGCTGGATGACTTGTTTCATGATTGATCCAGACAAAGCTACCGAAGAAGCGCGAAGCTGAGCATCAGTGATGTGCTTAGCTCTGTTACCAACCAGCACTTGCGCTAGGCGTATACCCATATCTATCTTAGGCAAAGTATCATAGCCTCCATAGAACTTTTGAAAGCGATCGACGTATTCAGCAAGCTCTTGCCCCTCTGCAAATTTGCCTTTGCTCATATAAACACTGGTCGTATCCAGACCTGCTCGCAGGACAGAGATCTCAGCTTCGCCTTCATTGAGGTTTACAAGGACAATATGCAAGAACTCGAGCAGAGTATTGCTTTTGAGGTTCTTCTTGACATCCAAGTTAGCTGCGAAGTATTCTAAGATAGATTTATTGGCAATCTCGAGTCCAGCATCATCTTCGACATCCATCAAGAATGCAAGGAGTCTGGAAGCATATGAGAGGACAGTTGTGAAGAACATCTTCTGAGCGATTGAGCGCTGATACATTTGGTATAAGAAGACTTCCATGAACAGATCAGCCATGATTGATGAGTAGAGTTCTTTTCTTCCAATGATAGTTGACTCGAAAGCAACGAGGAAGACCCAGGTATAGCTCTCCAGTTTGAATTTGGGGTCAAGTTTTAGATTGGACTGAGCAAAGATTGCCTGTGAGCGCAATTGCTTCGTCAATCTCACTGCTTCGGACTCCAACCTTGAATCCTTGTAGATTGTTGCAAATTTCACTGCTGAGTCTGATAAGATCTGAGAATTCTTCTCGGTCTTGAGAACTTCTAAGATCGAGGCTTGAAGAGTTTGTTGGGCCTCCAATATAGCTTCTGGTTTCTCTTGTTTAGCCAATGCTTTGGTCAAGTGCCCAAGCCAGAGAAGTGTATCACGGTAAACGTATCCCTTCTCCGTATGAAAATTGTTGAACTCTTGCTTGTACAAAGTAATGGCTTTTGTCGACGCGGAGAGCTTGGAAACGGAGTATAGATGAGGTAAACGCTTCTTTGCAGCTAGTACAGCTGCTAAAGTGGCCTCGGTGATTTGTCCCTTTGGAGCTTCATGAACTTTGACATCTGCTTCCTCATACAAAGATATAGCCTCTTCACGGTGCTGCTCACTATCCTCATCCAGCTCGGCGAGTCGAAGTGTGGCTTTGATTGCGATTTCGTGATGAATACCGTACAAAGTCACACTCACTCTGCGGAAATCAACAGCGAGCTGACGTAATAAGCTGTGATGTGTTTCAGATGCTTGCCTAACGACACGGACATATCGTTGATACAGATCTTCGGCAAAATCTGTCTTGATACCGTATTCCTTTCCGTGCTTCAGTAGCATCTGCCAGAGAGAGCCACAAACTTTTTGAGCAGGTACATACTGGCGTTGCTGTTCATAGATAACACACAGAGCCAAAGCCGCTCGAACCGCATCTTTGTGACAGACTTCCGTGTTTCCTTTACCTAGGTTGACATGAATGGTACGATAGGCGTTCTCAGCTTCTGCGATGTTGTAGATTTGCATGCTTAGATCGCCTAATAAATACAAAGTCTTGATCGTCCATGTATGTGTCTTGCCATGTCTCTTTTCGATCTCATGGTGCATATCGCGATAAACGATGATGAGTTTTGCAGTCATAGAATGCGACTCATAGAAATCAATCAATGTCTTGGATGTAGATTCTAGAAGCTCATCTGGGGTTCCTGAAGTGGCCACAACAGCGTAGAATATCTTTCGATAGGTAACCTCAGCTAGTTCTAGCTGGCGTAGCTTGAATTGTGCGAAAGCTAGTCGATTCAGAAGTTCCAATGTTTCTGCAGTGAAGTTGGCTGGCAAAGGTATGTTGACATTGTTTCCTAAGAATGATGGCCAAAGCCGAAGCAAAATCGAATTCGTCACTTGAGAAATCTCAGACCATCGCTGTTCTGAGTAGTAAGTAGCGCACAAAGATGTAGCTTGACGTATGGTCGTAGTATCGATAGTTTTAGTACTTTTACTGACGATAGTTCTTTCAAATACTTCGCGAATCGTTGTGATATCCCATGTGATTTCTTCCGTCTTTGTCTCGGTAATCTGGGTCAAGCTCTTGGAGACAGATTTAGCTTCTGTGGTTTCTTGTTTGTCACTTCTGACGTAGTATTCCCACAGATTGGTGAACACGAGACGAGCTGCTGCCATGGATCCAATGCTTTGAAATTGCTCACCAACAGCTATCGTATGCTTGATCAAGGTAGTAGATTGAATATCACTATGTTCGAGATCAATGTTAATGCCTCGAAGTATACTCTCTGCCTCAGTTGTTCTTTGCTCTCGTTTCAAAAACTCAACGTAGCGGAGGGCGACTTCAATTTTCTTCTCTTGAATGGAGACGTCGTAAGTATGTGTTAAACTTGTCAAGCTTTGCCACAGATTGATCAGTACCTCCTCGGTCTTGACAGTGTTCTTCTCCTTCTCGGACTTTTCAATCATGGCCCATGATAATTCAAGACGCTTCGAATCAGACGCATTCATTCTTCGGATACTGACCTCGTACTCTTGCTGTAGACTACTAGTACTTTGCTCCATCTTTGTAATCTCAGTTGAGCTTCTTGAAAGCGTCTTCCATGATTCAACAGTCTGTGAAGCTGACTTTCCATAAACCGTTACGTTCAACTCGTAAATGTACTTCTGCCACTCAGTAACCTTGGTTGTTTCGCCGATAGTAACATAAATTTGAACCAGAGTCTCGGCAAATGTTATTGTTTCTTGGCTGACTGAATTTGTGGATCTTTGTACCTTGACAATATACTCAAGAAGTTCAATCTTGCGTGAGACAAACTCAGTCTTCTTGGTAACAGTAATTGAAGATGTGCTTTCAATGTATGTTTGGGCACACTTGAAGGCTATGGATGAAATATGAAGGGTTTCCGCAAGCTTCCATGCATCGTAGTAATATTCGACATTTGACGAAACATTGATTTGTCCCAATCGCGCAATGTTGAGTAGAGTCTGGAGTACAGACTCTGAAGTCTCACCATGCACAGATCTTCGTATAGACAGAGCTAAATGCAATTTAGTCAAGGCGTCTTGAAGTGGAAATTGGTATTCCCAGCAAGCTCCTTCAATCAATGCCAGAAGAACAGATTCGGCAAAGCATGCTTTAAACCCAGGAGTGAGCTTTTGCTGAGGCCCCTCATTCATCGGGGATGCAGTGAAGTGCATTATCCAATACCTGGAGGCGTATTGAATGAATTCGAATGTTTTGAACAATTTATTCAACTCCTCTTCTGTCATGGTGACAAGGCTTAAGTGAGCCGAGCGTCTGTTTATGGAGGCTTTTATGTAAGCTAAAGATCTCAATGCCAAGTCGTAATGAGCTTCTTTGACATGAAAAGGAAAGGCGCCGGTGTTCTTGAAATCAACAACGGACATTGATCTCTGGGTAATGTTTTGCTTCACAAGATCATGTGAGAATCGGACAAACCCATCATCCATTTTGATCAATGGTCCAACGGAAGCAGCAATGTCATCCTCAGCACGGGTCGTTCTTGAAACATGCTGGCAAGACGCTGTGTCAATCTCCAACAGTTGCTTGATTTCGCTTATGAGCAAAGGGCGCTCGCTTGCCAAGAGCCAAGCAAGTATGGACTTTGTGTCTCGCGCCTTAAGATCAATCGAAGACATGGTGACATCAAGCAGCTGGCCCAAATCTTTCGGGAGACTTTCCAGACGTTTGATTATGGATTCTGGTGTCTGTTCTCTTTTGAGAATATCAATCGCATTTTGAGACCATACAAAAGAACCATTAGCAGTATGCGCAAGCTTTGATGTCACCAAAGAAATATCCTTTTGGCTCAAATTCATTGTCGATGACAACTGCGATTCGATAAAGTATTGAATATCTTGACTGGTATGTTGAAAGCCGATTGAGAAGTGAGAACAGTCTCCGGGGATTGGCCTAGTGAGTGGTCGAGAGAAGACAATGCATTTCGTGTTCTGGTGCTTGGAAACAACAGTGCGCAATCTCTCAAGTAAAACCAATCCATTACTCTCACCACCATAGACTTGATCAAATCCATCAATGACAATTGTCTGGTCCCGGTCGGTTCGAAGACTCTGGCCCAATGCAGCCCACAATGAGTCCTCCACCTTGGTGCTTGGATTCCCTTGTATATGCAACTCATATGCGTGAAATAATTCCTTGTACAAAGCTTTATCACCAGCACTAAGCTGGAGCATTTGTAGCAAGAGTCCCTTAACGACGCTAAGAGTTGATAACTCCGTTTTCAATGTGCCATCTGAAAATTGTTAGAACTCATCACGAAAATAATATAAAATACACACCAATGGTATAGCGAATCACTTCTGTCGCTCGGCGACCTTTGAAAGCTTGGAGCCTTTCAACAACCCATTCGGAAAGCACCGATTTTCCTGAACCAGCGGATCCAGTTACCATAAAAATGTTTTTTCCACTTCGTGCAAAATCTCTCAAAGGTCTGTCAAACCACTCGCATGTGAAATCGGCTCTCGCACCGTGAGCACGACGATTAGTCGCAAGGATTCTTGTGACACGATCGTGTGGGGTTAGAAAATTTCTTACAGCTTCCACTGAATCATCTATCAGATAGTGGTCAGTACTTGAAGAACGAAGTCAAGCTTTTTAATAGTCCTGACTTACCTCCAGGCTCAGCTAGACGTTCAAGCCTCGTTGACCAAATTTTGTCTACAAAATGATCACTGTGCAAGAAGAACTCGTCAATTCTTTTACCAAACAATTCGTCGAAGGTACGAATGCTAAAAGTCAAATCTAATTTATTGATTAGTTCTATCGTATCTTTGAATATTTGAAGAAATCTTGCCGTGTTGTCTTCTCGTGTAATATATCGTAACGCCAGTCAAGAGTTTCAAAAGATCTGCGTAACAAGCCACCAAAACAGTTTGCAATTCCTCAATTGTATGTAGAAGCTCATGGTGACGGATAAGGAAGCCAAGTGTAATACTGCAATTGTAGAGGACGCCGAAAATTTTCTCGAGGATAGGAACATATTTCGGGCCCATCTGTAAAAAAGAATAGTTAATGCTTTGCGATTCGAGTCTGAACTATTATGAAACGAACCTCCAATAACGTTTTACAGCTTGCATAAATGATGTTTGTTGCCTGTTCACTCTGCGTGGTGAATGAGGAGACCTCCTCACTGTACGTAGAAACTTGACCTGTAAAGAATTCTGCCCATTTCAATATCTTGTCCCAACGACTGCCATGATGTGGCATCTGCGACAATCTGATGGTAGCAACAAAGTCGAAGAAACTTTCCACAGATTTGCAGCTCTGGAGAAATTTATCAGAGCTATGTCCAAGCTCTGACCGGTACATTTTGATGATCTTTTGAGTTGTGTCTTGGAGCAAAGGTGTTGGGAAGTAATCACTTCCGTTCATGCTGCGTTGGTCGAGGCTTGGTGATAGCATGAAGTCATTGTAGCCGTTGAGCTTTGAAAGTTGATTTCCATTGGATGATTGGCGATTTCTGAGAGGTGATAGCGCCCCGTTGTGTATTGCTGATGGAGCCATGCTGACCAGCGGTATTGTCTAGAAAGTAAATCAATCTGAAGCTACTTGTCGTTGGTTTAAGTTCCAAGTAATTGAGGCTCAAGATAGTTTTGAAGTGTCGTAAATTGAAATTTGTCGGCCAATAGGAAGTTTAGCATTCCAATGTCCTCATGCGAAGCAAGGTGGCGCCTTAATCGAACCAGTCTCGCACGTGTGAAGAATTATGGCGTTTGCATTCCACGTTATCAAGGAAGATTAATGACGTTGAAACAGTTGTCGAAAGAGAGGATTAGAATTGGAACGATGAGACCTCGCAAACGGGACTATATGTAGGAGAAGGTATCAAACTTATCCGACTACACTGCCCCCTATTATCTCGGAAACACCGAATCTCGATGAAATTTGTGATAGAAGATCATTTTGCAACCCAGCAGTTCAGAGAGCAAATCATTTTCGAGATTGCAGGCCAGATGGAAAGCAGAGAGCAAGACCCGAGGGAAAATGTGACAGGTTTTTTAGTCGGCGAGCTCGAATAATTGCTAGTCATAGAGCTCCCTGCCGATGGTACGGTAGGTTTACGAGCCATGGTCAATACAGACTTCAGCTTCAAGAACATTTTCAATGATTGCCAGTGATTGCATCCAAAATGTGACTATCCCCCACGCATCGAGATAATGATACCGGGGTAGCCGGAGGATAAAAAATGGTACATGAAAGACCTTACAGTAGTGGTATACCAATATTCGTGATGACAATATCTTTAATGATGGGTAAAATAAACGCCACTTGGAATTTAGAATAGAGATGCAAGGCTGAGCAAGAGAGCCAGCCCATCGTATGATCATAGGTTATCATAACTTCTCAGTCGAATCAAAATAGAATGTTAACGTCGACTATTGAAAACATGCAACGCAAGGTAGTAGTGTAGGTACTGGATAAATTATCACATTACCGTGATCAGCCGTCAGCCAGCCACCCGTCAGCAAGGTGGATTTGTGGCGTCCCAAAAGGGAACCCCAGGAACTCGAAACTTTGATATTGGCTCCTCGTATATTGTATCAATGAGAAGTCATCTCCACGTAGTCCCAGTTTCAACCATACATTGTGATATTGCTGACCTATCCGACGCACAATGAGGTTGATCAGTTGGAGAATCCATCTCATCAAACTTTCATTTTCACATGACTTCATGTGAGTTGAGAGGAAGATGTGCTGCGATTACTACTTGATAGAAACATTTACTTATAACCCGAGCCATCCGGTTCTCATGAAATGTCGTTGGAGAATACCTTGAGCAATGCGGGGTATGAAGGGTCGAAGTGAAAACTTAAAGCAAGAACATTGAAGCTACCCCCTGAAATCCACTAAGCCGGAAGTAGCCTAAAGCTTTAGTTCAATTTTGCCGGCTACATTGAAAACATTACCAATCACAATCAACACCAGTAGCATATCATCTTGAGATCAATTCGGGCGAGCCCAAGAGGCATACGAACTAAAGAGCCATGTGAATTTCACATGGATGCCCACTCTCGGCGTAAGATATTTGCCGGCAATAAGGTTAATTACGCTCAGAATGTAATCATCCTTCTTAGGGTTCAACGAGAGCCAGCTTTCCAGATTTGGAAGTGGCTTTTGACGCCAATCATACCCTGGCGCAGATCAAATCCTTAAAAGACCCTAACTTTCCAGACCAATCATTAAGGGATATATAGCGACTCGTTCATTGTTACTTGGATGTTACGCTATAGTTTATAATGAAGTATGTTCAGCTCTAATTCTATTCAACTCTGTTGCACATCTGAAAGGCTAATACAGTAAGGTAAGCTTGGAGACGAGGAGTCAGGGAGTCGGGATCAAACGGTGATTTTGTACACATGATTGAAGAACCAGTCGTCCCATTCATATCGGCGGAGTGCACACATATCCCAATATTGATAATTGGACTGTCTCTTTTTGTTGCATATCAGCTTTCCCCTTCTGCACATTATTTGCTAGAGGTCTCCTATCCCAAATTCATATTCTTCCCCGCCCCCACGGGCAATTTACACCTCAACATGACCCCCGGTTTAACCCTCCGATCAACCCCTTCATTCCAATTCGGCTGATACGGCAACTGATTAACGTTCCAATACATGTAACCATCAAACCCAACATTCGCGCTATCGGGCCAGATAATCCGCGGATCTCTCACAAATGGCACTGCTTGCGATATGGTGCTGTTCCAGATGTAGATTGCGTTTGAGGAGGGCATGAGCATGTAGATGTTTCCTAGAGAGTCGGATGCGAAGCCATTAGCATTCCCGCCACGTTGGCCAAGATTGTGAACGTTGTCCATTGCGAGCTTGGAGGCGATAGAAGAGGTAGATGGATTGCTTAGGAGGTAGGAAGTGGGGATGCTGTAGAGAGTATTAGATGTCAAAGGGGAATAGTAGAGGACCTGCAGTTCGTAAGTAGTTATTCCCATAATGAAATTACAGTAAAGCAGAAGATAAACAGAGGATCTCCATACATCACCCCACAATCCCAATTCCAACCCGTCCAATCCCTCTTGCTGAAACCCCGCTCCCATCCCTGTCTCTCTTAGATAGAACGGCAGTCCATTATAACTCGGTACATCCTCCTGCACCCTCAAAACACTCTTATGTTGATTCAACATCCTCCAACTCTCTCCAGTCCCCAAATCCAATATTATAAACCCATTCCTTCCCTCATTACTCGAATCAACCAAATACGCAATCCCGCCCCCTGACTCAGTAATATTTTTGCGTTGATCAAATCTCAGATCATTGAGGTAAGAGTCTGGGTAGTGAACATCGGAAGGAAATGTGTATGTGCGAGTTATAGAGTTATTAGATAGATTGATTGCGACCAATTTCGGACCTCCAGGAACAGCATATGGCATACTGGGGGCTTGACTCTCATTAATTGTCGGACGCCCAGTATCGAGAACCCACAGCGTATCATCGGGTGTTATAAAAAGTGCTTGAACTGAAATGAAATAATCCTGGAGTGAAGACCCGAATTGTATGCCATTTGATTCGCTGTAGAGACCTCCTGGAGGCGTGTTCAGCTGCAGGGAAGGGTATGGTGTTTCCGCAGTTTGATTAACTACTTCTCCGAGTGTGTAGGCGTAGGTGCCGCGTGTGTAACATGTGAAGACTCGGCCTGTTTTGGAGATCGCCAGCCCAATAGGCCATTGGTCATAGAAGTAATGGTATTCTTCTACTGAGGGTCCATAGCTACCCGTGTCGTACCGTAGGTTATGATGTCCTGCATAGTCAAATGTTCCGTTCAAGGTAGTGTCACCGGAACTAAGGGTGTCTTGTGTAGTTCCACACTGCAGGAGGCTTGCGGCTGTGAAAATTGTGAAGAGCTTCATTTTATTCTAGTAATCCTAGGATATTAAACATAGACAATCAATCACCAGTTTCCTGATCAACTCTTTCACTCGAAATGGGTGAGAATACCAGCGAATGAGTGTTTTGTACAGAAATAAACAATCGCTCTTTCGATCAAGGAACAACATCGCAAATTTATCAGTACGATGAGCAAGTACTGGTCATCCATTTATCAAGCAAGCTTTTAAGCTTTTGTTAAGAAGATCTCTTGAGATAATGACGTGTAGAGGCGGGAGCTAGAGGGGTGGTCCGCTAGTGTATAACTCTATACGTGGGAGTAGTAATTTAGTATGATTGTGGGGTAAAATTGAAATGCCCGCCATCAAAGATATAATCTTTTTCGAAGAATGAAACGGACTCTGTGTTCGGGAGAGGCGGCAACGTCGATGAATGACATTTTGAAGTACGCAAAAGATACGAAATGTGGAGAAATAAATGTGATGATGTATTAAATTCTGTTTCAACCTACAACAGTAGCTAGCCCAGCAAGCTCTGTATATACCCTATTGCTTATCCAAGCAATGTATTCCAAAATATCCTTTACTCCAACGCAAATCATCCAAATAATAAGATTAAGCCCACATACATTTTGCCGAGTCCAAATAACTCTCTCTAACACCATAGAGACTACTCAGATCATCAGCATAGGTTTCATTGTGCAATTTTTGCTTCAACAGCGCAGACTCATGTCTCTTCAACATTACATTCCACGAGAACATCGAATGGCCTACACCAGCAAAATATTCTCCCCGCAGGACCACCAGGTAGTCAATTAAAGCTCTCTGGTCCCATCTCAAATGAGACAACTCTTCTCGCTCGTGGTTTTTTAGAAGATCCTCTTTGTGGGTGACATCAATGCCATAAGTTTTAGCTTCAACTGCCAATTTATGAGTAGAATCAATATCACCCGAGGCGGCGTATATAAGTGGTGTTTTCATCGACTTGGCCAGTGCGATGTATGCTTCGGCTTGACCATGGTAATGCATAAATGGAGCGGCAGCAACATGTCGCCTCTCAATTCCTTCCGGCTCAGTCTTCAAATGTACGCCTAAGAATGAAGGGGTAACAATTGTGGAGCTGACATTAAGTGGTACATCATACCAGTTTGAAATTTCGCGTAGAGTTGAGGTTGCAAGGCGACGAACATCGGGTCGGAATTTCATTATCTGTCCAAACTCATGAGCGAAGACATGGCCATCGGCATGAGTTGGGTATTGAAGATTTGATTGTTCCAGATCCACAACTATTGGTATCGATTGTGGTGTTGGTGACATCCATTTCTCGATCCAGCCATGTAATTTTTCCTGCCATTCCTCTGGATGTTCCAATCCGCTTGTTGGTCGATTTATAAACAAGCTCTCAGGCTGAAGCCCGCGTCTTCTCTCATTGACTGTTTGTTCCATATGGTCGATGACATTCAATTCAGGACATGACATCTTCAAAGATTTCTTGAAGTGATCCGCATCAAACATATAATCCAGACCCTTCCAGCCAAGACCATGCCGTTTGCCCATGTGAGATTTCTCCCCTTCCTCGCTGGGCATCATGTTCAAGTCCTGAATATCCTCCCTCAGCTTGATATTTGGCATAACCAAGCTACCACCTGCACCAATTGCATATCGCACGCAATTAAGTATGGAGTTTCGCACATGTCCAACTCCTCCTTGATTGCTATCGCATGTAAATATGACGCTCGAGTTCCACGTTTGTGTCGCACAAACTGCTCTCATAACCTCGGAATTGACATGCGGGAAGTCGAATACATCCTGTTGATCTAAGGTGGCAGCAGGTATGTTCGTTTGCGGGCCACCCGAATTGGCATTCCAGATGATATGTGTAGGTATAACTTGAGGACGGTCGAAAGCAAACCAAAGCCAGGCCAATCCTAGGGCGAAGCCTGCTAAGACGGCATATTTGCGATTGACACCAGTTGGAAGCTGCATTTTTCTTGTAATTTTTGAAGCGATATTCGATCAGGAAAATGAAGGGAAAACATCTCGAATGTCGACATTTTGAATGAGTCTGAAGTTGTGCTTTGATCTTGGTGGCTCAGGGAGAGACTGTGCGAGGTGTGTTTTATGAGAGATGTTTTGACTTCCTGATGACCAATCACAAGAGGGCCCGCTTTGACTTGAAACCTCAATGAAGACAACGAGACCGCCTTGCAGACATTGTTTTTCTTTTTTGTTCATTCTATTTGGGTTTCAAATTGTTCAAGCAGTGTGTGAATATTCCATGGTCAAATAATAAATAAGGGTTGTAAGTGGAGCTTCTGTAGCTGAAGTTGTACACAGATCTCGATGGGGGGATTATTTGTCTCCGTTAAGAAATCTACCTCCATGCGTGATCTATTAACTTGTTTCAATCGCTCACGCTTTTGGAATCAGTTGGGTTCTATTGAATCTCATAAAGTATTTATTGTATAGATATTACATTCGCATTATCTAATTATTCGGGTCCCCTTGTGTACGTGTACATACCCCTTATTATTACAAAAGTATTGCTCCCAAATCCCAACCTAATTCAACTCTATCTAAGCCTTTATTATACAAACGATGTCTCTATTACAAACCGAAAAGATCAAATCACGAATTCTCCCATACCCCACAAGAAGTATCCCTTCATCAAAGTTCCTCATCGACTACCCGATTCACATCTTCGTGAATGGGGCTCTCATCCTTCTTTACACTGACTGACAAAGTTAGAAGTCCAGCGGCGGCATATGCAGCTGCAGCAACGAGAAATCCCCCTCCACTCCACAACCCTCCCCTCTTCAAACCTGAGCTGAAAGCTCCTGCTACTAACGGACTGCTGACCATACCACCAATCGTATCCATGACTGCAAGGACACCGTACAATCGACTGACTTGTGTTGGGTCCACCAAGTCAGTGAGCAGAGATCGAATAGCTGGGTAAAGACCCATTCCAAGAGAGAATATGATCGTTGCTACTCTCGTTAGTCATCATGTTCAGCATCATGATTATTATAGTCGAAGGGGAGTTCCAAGGTACTGGAATATTGTCGACTTACATAGGACGAATAGACCTCGAGCTGGGGATACTGCAAGTCCGAGAGCACCCAATGCCATAAGTAAAGCAGAGCCTCGACTGACCATTAGATCCTTTACAGCAGTTTGCAGATGGAATCTCGATAGGATAGCGTAAATGGCAGGGAGAACGAGTACCAATTGAACAAAGTTTGTGATTGAAGCGAGAGGAATGAGAAAACTTGCCTGTGTTATTACGTCAGTATATGAGAAGTGAAGGAACAGGCAGCACATACATCGGCAAGTGTCCAGCCCAGTCTTTTCGAAGCAAGCTGGAGAAGGAACTGGTTCATAATTCCATGCAAGGACTGTACCAAAAATGCAGCAGAGAGTGCGAGCAGTTTTGGATTCGTGAAAACGAAACGAGATTCCTCCAAATTTTCAAGAAGCATCGACAAATTCTTTTTAGAGAATGTTAAGGCTGCTTCGTCATTGCTGCAGCTACCTTCATCTTCCGTTGCTTCTCCTGGTACTTGATTGGAATCTGGTGAAGAAATGCTAAGGTGTTCCCTTAGATGCAACGTTTCTGGGAGAACAAGGACAAGTAGAGCACCTAGCAATACAAACAAAACAGCTGCCATCATAGGAACCCTTAGGCTTGAGACTTTTATAAGCCACCAAGCCATTGGCACACCGGCTAAAGTGGCTACTAAAGAAGCTGCCACAATTTGAAAGAAAACTGTAGCCCTGTATGTCTGTAATTAGCATAAAGTATGTCAAAACAAGGGGTCATTGAATTGCACGTACCTTTGTTCTTCGGCTACTACATCGGCGATAATAGTATAGTACATAGTTCTCGTCACTGCGGAGCCGCCTCCAATCAAAGTGAATAAATTTGCCGACCAAATCCATCTTATATCAAAAAAGGTATCGAAATAGCCTGTACCAATTAGCATCGCAAGATCTAACCTGATAGCCAGCCTATCATTTCGTCTCAACTCTTATAAATCCAGAGACTTACAAATCACCTGAACCCAGACCAATCCCAGACCTATACCTATCAAACTCATAAACAACACGGCCTTTCTCCCAATTTTATCCGCCAGCACCCCAAACGGTACCGACATGATCAGACCTGGAATACAAGCAAGAGTTCCATCCCACCCTCTCAACATTGCCAATTTTCCTTGGATAACATCATTCTTGCAATGACTTTCTGGAATCGAAAGTCGGGGCGCATCACTAAATCCAGAGAGGGGAGCAGATGAGTAATAATCTCGACATAGTATATCTTCAAGAGTCCGAGCCAGCGGTGCTTGGAGCATATAATCACCTATCTCAACAAGTAATACAGAGAGGATAACAATGACAGAAACGCGAATAGTTACAGTTTGACGCGTAAGCAATGCATTGTGATCGGTGGTAGAATGAATAGATCCTGTAGGTAACTTGGGTAATAAAGGGGTCGTCTCTTCGGAACGAGTCGGTTCGGGAGACATATTGATCGGAAAATAAATGCCCCAAATTTAAGCCACGATGGCACAGAAACGGGCCACACAAGATATATGTACTCAGGATTCAGGATCCAGGACATCGGAGTTCGGTATACGATTGCCAACAATTTCCGGTTCTAACTCCGAATTGTGGATACGTGTCGATAAGCACTTTATCCTAGGTACTATTCCGACATGCTTATCTGGGATTTTATAGGGCTATTGCAGCGTATCAGAGCATGGAGATCGTGAATAGAAACAAGAATCTTGTTTCAATACTCCAATACTCATCATCATTTGCCCAGCAATCACTGCAGTCGAAGGATTAGGTCTTCACATCCCATTACGCGGAGGGCATTCGAGAAACAATCGTTCATTCGCGGAGTTAAAAGCACTAGCCAAAACATGTCAAAATCTTCAGTCAGGCAACTTTGATACAAGCTTCAAGTGGCTGATTGAAATCGATATAGAGAGTTCTACATTGTTCAAAGTAGTAAGAAATAAAAGATGAAATATTTTCCACTGTTTTTCTGATTGAGATGTAAGACCTTCAGAACAAAATTGAAAAGATACTTAGAAAATAGACTTTTTTGGTCTTCCAAGTACAAAGGTAGAATAATGGCAATTCACGATTTCTCGTCTGAAAGGTTAGCCAGGTCTTCATTCAGCAACATTCCGATCAATTGGCTCAGAAATGACCTCCTTCCTTAAATAAACGGTCCCAAAAGCTCTCTGAAAGTGGATTGGCCTTTCATACAAAGCACATAAGCTTTGCTCCGATTAGCGCTCTTGGGTCCAGAATCTTATCTTACTTTGATTCTCTCAGAGCCTCACCAGCAATGGTGGTAGGTGCGCTCTACGTAAGCGAAAAAAATAGGCGGAAATTGAGTGACCTTTCAAAGAGCTTTTTAAATAGATTATAAATTGATTTTAAATTAAATATTGAAATTTGAAAGAATCAAACGAAAATTTGAGTCTTTTTTATATAGATAATAAATGTTATTATTGCGATAGGCTATGCCCACAGTCATATATGCAGTCGGGTGAAATCGTGATCATGGCCAATCAAAGAGTAAAATGGGCTCCCTAGGGCCAGATAAGCAAGATGATCTACCAAGGGGTTGACGTCGAACACAGTTGCGCATTGCACCTTCATCGTCAACTGTCGAAAATCATTGAAACATGACGCTTCTAGAACCTCTTGAGCGTAAAACAGAGAATCTGTCGAATTTGGAGACTAGACTGCTCTTGCTAACCTCCAGCGCTTCATGTGCTAATATAAATGAGCGCGCTTGAACGAAACATTTGCGACGAAATACAGAACTCTTAACTCTTCAGAAATGAAGCAAATAACAAGTATTCCTCGCCTGGTTTTATATCCCCCGCCCTCTTCTATACCCCTCGACTCTTGAATGAAAGCTAAGCAGGTCCTTTCAAATTTCCCAAAAACACAACGAGCACCGCGCAATAAGCACTCGTTCCAACGAAGATTTCCTGGGTACCCGCTTCCGTAAGTAGACTTATCATGACGCTGAAAAGAAAGACGAATGCGAGCGCGATAAATGCCATCCATCCTGGCTCCATATTGACCGTCAAAAAGAGAATTACAGGTATGACCAGTATCAATACTGTCATGCAAACAACCAGTAGTTTGGCAAACATGCTGATGCGGAAAGTAGAGAAGGACTTGACCGTCTTTTCTGTAGGGTTGTTGCGTTTAGGTTTGGCGAGCAGGTACTTCTGAGGCGTTGGTTAGCAGATTGCAGTGCATGGTTCAGAATTTGGGAAGTGCAAAGGATAGAACCAACTTGGAACCACGATATTGGCCGGGTGTTCAAATTATCCTCAACAAATCTTTCCAATCGGTTGCTCTGTGGGGCAACGAGCGAGATGAAATCCTCCGGTTGACGCATCCATTCGCATTGTTCGAGACCCAACAGCTTCTCCCCGCAAAACCATCTATAAACAGACAAGTGATCTTTCTCTGGTGTCGGCGAAAATGATTTCAGCTTCTGGAATTGTATCAAAAGTGCACCTTCTATAGTATTAACTCAAGACGAAACAAATCAATCCGGGAGTTATGATTTACCATAAGCGAGTAACTCTTGATTCAAACTGAGAATTATCTCCTCTCGCTCAGACCCAAGCTCCATAGCTTCAGCTTGAGAAATGTCCCTGAGTCGGTCCGATGTATCTCCGTTTGTCGCATCACTCACGTCTAAGCCATGAAGCTGTTTCTCTAGTGCCGCGATCTTGATCGTTCGGAATAATAATACTCTTGCGTGAAGAGATGCGAACCCACGATAGATACTGAAATTATCGCACTTTTCAAGAAAGCTTGCGACTTGTGACCAACCTTTTGGCTGTTCTCGGTCTGCAATGATAATTAAAATGAGGGTCTTATTGATGGATAGAAGACACTCACAAGTTGGATATTCTAACCGGTCATATTCATCTTGGTAAACATTTGCTCGCCGGGGTTGTTTGTCTGGAAAGACATTTTTGATTGATTTGATGCATCTTATGAGTCTATGCGACCATAGCGATATACTAGACTGGCAAGGGATGTCTAGGAAGAGTTAATCAACATCCATGTATGGTCTGCGATATTGGGTACTTTGATCAGAGGACGCAAGTCCTTCAACGTCTGCTTCAACGTCTATCGTCATCGAATACGGGGGGGTAAGCGGCCTGCTGGTCGTCCCCTGATTGAAGGAGGGCCTCGCCATTGAATGCATCTCCAAACAGTTTCCAATACCCTTCTCGGCCATGTCTACACTTTTCGAATAGGAATGTGACTTGGGAATCATTTGTTCTGGGTTCAATGCGGATAGAGCCATTTTGAAACCTAAAAGTGAGCATATCGAAGAAGTTTCAAAGGCCAGCCAGCATGTAGCCTTTATTTATACTTCCCTCCAGGTGACAGTTTCGAAGGTTGTATGTAAGGCAGAATACAATGCTGTTTCCTGAATACTCAAGAGTCAGTTCCCATCTCCTATCGTCCACTCATGTTGTATCGTCTCTATGAGGCTTCAGGCTCGAACACCATAATAAGCCGCCACTGGGCTATGTGAGTGCAACCCAAATATGCAAATTCATTACACTGAAATGAAGTATTGGTTGAATTATGTAGCGATAAACCACACCGAGTCCTGTACACGGTATAAGTACTTTAACCGGGCGAGGATGCCTCTGATTGTTTCGAACATGATCCAATAATTGGACTATCGTTAGGTATCGTTGCGTTGTTCTCTCCTTTTCTGCATCAGAGCTGCGGGATGCGAGAATCGATGGCATTTTTCCTCATTCGCAGATTCGAGAACCAAAGGTCGCATTAATAGTATGACTTTGACGGTATTTCTGCCATTTCTGAAAATAGTTGGCGCACGCAGACAGCAACATCTAGGAATTAGAATATGTTACCATTCAAGCCGCATGATGAAACTTTTAAGTACTACTTAAATGATACATAGCGCCCCCGGAGTCTTCATTATCTTGTCCAATGAGATTGAAAACGCCAGGTCAGCGGTTTCCATTCAGCCATCGAAGTTTCTGTAGTACTATAGCCTTGTAGTGCATGGTATTGTGATAGATATATGTAAGATTACAAGGCCTCGGTAAGGATTCCAACGTTACACCAGGAATGTCAACCTCACATTACCACGAAAGCAACACAACAAAGTATCCACGATTCGAAGATCATTGAAATATCGATTGTGTCAGAATCGCGTAGACAACTCATCTACTCACTCTCCCCTATCACACAACGCGGATTGAATCTCACTCCTCAACGATCCTGAAACGCGGCCTTAGAAGCGCGTACCGTGGACGAATTCCTCCTCGATATAGAACAGAACTACTGTACATCTGCCACCTCGATACACTGTTCCGATCCCGCCATTAAAAACAACATCGATCCCAGCCGAAACAATTTCAAGCGACAACATACTCGAAGAACCATCTGATTACGACGTTTGGAATGAATTTCCTGACCAGATACAAGGAAAGGGCGGGGTAAAGTGTGAATGCACGATCGCTTGGAGTTCCATTCTAGTCTCTTCAATGACGTGTCTAGGTCGTTATCTATGCATTTGCAATCGCTCTGCATCGGCAGATAATGCTTTCGACAACGATATCATAACAGCATGACTCGCACATCGCGCGACTACCTGACGACAAATTCTCAATCTCTCGACATTCAATGCGAAACACTCTCTTGTTTTGGAAAAGTCCCTATCGGGTGCCCTCACCAACGCCGCTGCACTACGATTGTAGGAGGGATTGAAGCTCAAGGAAACACTTCCCATGTCCATGATAGCACATGAATAACTTCCAAAGCCGTGCTGGGTTCATGAAAGAAAGGCCAGATGCGTCACTCAAGCACATCATCGAGAGACAAACCTTCCCAAACAAAACTGCGATGTATAGTCAAGAGGGATCATCACAACTAGCAACGTCTTCACTAAAAGTTACCCCATCACTGGAAATTTATCTGTTCAAAACATGGAGCGGAAGAGGTACGAAAGATGATGTGGCCTTGAAAGGATTTCATTATAGCGGTGCGTGTGAAAGCTCTATCAATCTGTTTATTTTTCCCATCCATTCCTACTCCCGCAGAATGCTAAAGTCAACCCATCTAATCCGTTTCAGTAGGATCGTCCGTTCCAGTAGAATCGTCCTTGAGATTATTAGTTTTAGATAATCAGAGGCGAGATAAAGATCAACTTACTTCAACAATAGGTTCTTCTACTGTACCAACAGTACCTCTTGTGTAGTCTTCCACCACCGGAGCCTCGATTGAAAGGGTAGACATGTTGTCAGAACTGGTGTTCGGCTTTGTCTGTTAATTTTGGATAACCAGAAACGAGATGAAGATCAACTCACTTCAACAACAGGTTCATCTACCGTACCAACAGTACCTCTTGTGTAATCTTCCATCAATTGGAACTCGATTGAAATGGTAAGCATCTTGATGAAGCTAGTGCTGAGATCTTTCGGAGTGAGTCGTGGGTGGAAATGGAAGTGGGGTTATTCTTCGGTCCTAACTGTAATGACTTGGAGATGTGAGAGAGTTCAAGAGTAAAGGAGGATTGGTCTGGAAATGCTAACATATATAGAGTGGTATAATAACTGAGAATACTCGTGGGATAAGAAGTTCTTCGAATGATGCTAGATGCACGTCCACCATGAGGACTGTCCTGTTTTTCTTCCCTTTGGGTTTGCAGAATTTCCGGCCGATGAGTATCAAAAAGGGAAGTGGGTCAGAGAGAGCGAAAGGAGAACAAAAAGCAAAGTTCTAAAAGTACATACGAACCCTTGTGTGTTGGAAGCGCGAGCATGGCGGACTTTGATATAATTTATTCTAGAAAAGATCAGATATTATTCAAATAATCCAAGACATTTCGACTGCTTTTGAGTGATAAAGTCTTGCGGAAACGAGTGAACTGGGTCTACAATTCGTATGGCCAATGTCATCGTCATCTCTTTCTACGTATAAATCTCTCAGAGACCAGAGGAACGCCTTCTCCGTGACAACCGGCAAGTTTCCTCAGTCACCGCTTTGTTCTTACCAATCTGCCGTGCAAAGCTAGAATTGGGATGCTTGGCGAAATAAAGATTTTTTCCGGGATGTCTTGTATAAACAAAGGTTGGATGAACAGCCTTAAGTCATTCATAGGCTACAACAAAGGAGCTAGTCTCATAGCAACGTCTATTGAAGGATTGCTTCTTTTTGTACCTAGCTAGGTAGCTCCATTGAAAAGAATACGCATTGACAACCAGAGCTTCCATTCCCGGTTCTGTGGCGTCTGTATCCTTCTCACACCAGCAATCATCTTGTCTGTCACCTGCGAGGCTTGCTACTGGGGAATGTATTTTTTAATGCCTCTAAGTTGCCCCATGTAAATCCAGTGATAAATATGAATAGATTTTCATTGGGGGGAAGCACCCAGGAAAATTCGTTCCAGTGCAAGGCATCGCACCGGACATTCTCGAGCTTCTTCGGAAGACAGACACTGATATGCAGTGTTACGATGCTTAAACTGATATGTAGTGTTAGCTAGGTATGCACGACGGAAAGAGGAAGTTATTGGTCGATAAATTTTCACCCTCCGCGTTCCGGGTCCCAGGAAGGGCATTATTCGTCCCGGTAAAGAAAATAAACGCGAGTGTGAGACTTCGGGCGCCACAAGAGAAAAATTTCTTAGGGTTTGTTTGGAGATGTTAGTTCAGAATAATCAAAAGGTAATAGTTATTTCGGTCTATTCAGATTGAGTCGTTCATTTGTCGTTGGTGTAGAATTCTTGTAGGTGCGTAGAAGAAGGATGTAGATTGAAAGGGCTTCTTCTATGGAATTACTAGGTACAGTACGATAACCATGAATTTCCACCTCACCGTCGCTAAAACTTCACTGCCGTCAAAATTAAAGCCTCGCTATTTTGAATGGTAATTCAACCATTTTTACATAAATCATCCCATCTTTTCGAAGATTTATCTATCAAGCCGCCTTGAAAACCAATCAATTTTTATCAGGTACAGAGGAATAGATGATTAATGGTCTAAATCTCGAACAAAGCTAATCCTCTTCAACAAATCTTATTTTCTTCTACCGATCAATATGAACTGCAAATACCACCCTCAACCAAAATCATCTCAACATACCTAATGAGGACTGAGGCTCGCCCACGTTCTTCTCCCAAGACAATCCTCATGTAAGGTACGGGAAACGTCATACATGTCTAGTGCGGCCCGTATCTATTTTCGATTGCATGGTGGTCAGATAATGATTAGATTGAGTCTAGATAAGGCAGATTGATCGCCGTAATTAGTCTATCCGGTGGTCCAGGGGTTCCAATCAATCGTTCAACGTGGAAAAGGAGATTCTTTCAATCTGTAACAGACTAGGCCTTAAAGAGTACAGCTTTAGAACAACACACAGTTCGTATATGCTCTGGCGTCTAACACTTTCCAAGGCTTGCCAAGCAGTCATAAGGGAAGAAAGTGGAGGCAAAGATATATTTTGGGTAACGTTAACTCTTTGTAATTCGTACATTATCGCTCCCCCTGCGTGCCACCCTGTGTGCTGCCGTCAATGCACATAGGTAGGCTGGCAGATTCGTAGCCAGCCTCTCCAGCCTTTCCAACTTCTGATAGTATCTGTCATAAAACGCACTATTGAAAGTACCCAGGAAAGAAAAAAACTGCAAATCGCCGAACCAATTAAATCTTACAACAGAGAAGATCGATAAGTTAAGGGTAATTTAATGATCTACGATCACCTTTGTTAATGATATATTATAGAAGCCAAGGTTGCTGGCGCTCATGTAAAAAGTACCTCCATTTGACCCTTTCGTCAAAGACCAACCCGATCAGTCATTTCTTTCCTCCTAGACTCTTAAAGAGGAACCAGGCCAAGAAAAAGACGCGCAAAGATACATATAACCTATCCATTCGGTCAAGATAACCACCGCCACCACCAAAATGCCACTCGAACAACAACAC